TCCGCCGCCCTGGGGCGGCCCTGGGGTCCGGGGAGGGCCTGCCCGGGCGGGGCAGGGGTAGCGGGAGGCCTCGACGCCTGTCTGAAGCGATGTTTGCTCTTCCCCCGCAGCACTGGCCCCGCAGCGCGGGTGGGTCCGCGCCGGGCTGGAGCAGCGCCTCGCTGCCCCCACCATGGTGAGCGCCGCGACCGCCCGGCCCTTCGCGGCGGCAGCCAAGTGAGTGCGGGTCCGGCATCCCGGGAGGCTCCCTCGGCCGCGGGGGTGGTGGTAGCGGGGTGTGTGGGGCGTTCTTGGTGTCTGCAGTGTTGCTCCAACAGCCCAGTGGCCTTGGTGGCGTAAACACTTGTCATAGAGTGTCACGGTTATGGGGAAGGACTGAGCGGGTGTTTTTGAGATGTGCTTTTGGGGGCTGTGGCAGGGTTACAACATGAAGGCTGCTGAGCTCGTGGGCTCGGTTTCAAACACTTCCTCGTCTTCAGTTTGCTTTTTAGTGTTTAATTTGTTGCCTCTTTAATAACACAGCATGACTCGGGAGAAGTGAGAAGGACCTCAGTGTACAGGAGTGTGAACAGTGTTGTACACCGAGTGTTCTGAAGTGCTGCAGACTCCTTTGCCATGGTTAGACAGGAATGGAATGTCTAGTTACTGATTTTTAGAAAAACATTTTAATATTTTTTTCCACACCTTGAGATCCTCTGGAAATAGGAAGAAGGGTGAAAATTGGGGCTGGTGTTTAACTGCATGCAAAATGCTGCAGGGAAGGGAGAAGAAACTTTTTTTATAAGGTGAGACTGCTGCAACAAGAAGAAAAACCTTGCAGTTGTTCCTTCCCTGTTGGATTTTCTCAGTTTAGGCCAGCCCAGGTGAAGGCCAGCCCAGGGGGTGTGTTCCCCTCATGCTGGTTTTGCTTTGGTGCAGCAGCAGGTCCTTAACACGTGACACACCATGTTCTTGACAGGCCAAACTCTTCAACTGATGACCTAACAGGGTTTGTTTTTGTTTTTTGTGTTTTTTTTTTTTTTTGTCTTAGACCTGCCAAAAAAGGTGCCCAGTGGACCAAGAAGGAGAAAGCCAAGGACAAGCCCTCCCGCCGGCGGCGGCCGCTGATGACCAAGCCCGTGGACGACGTGTACCTGACGTGGCTCTACCGGCGCCCCTTCTACGACCTGGAGCAGGCCGTGGGCATGCTGAAGAAGTTCCAGCAGCTGGACTTCACTCACCCCAAGCAGTTTGTCTATATCAATGTGTTCCTGGATATGGCCCTGAAGAAGGTTAGGTCTGGAAGGGTGTGGGGATCTTGGCGGGGTTTTTTTTTTAAGGGTTTAAATCTGCTCCAGACTTTGCACGTGCGTGGTTTTGCCAGCACACCTCGCTGTGCTTTGTTCTGGGGTCACTGTTTCACTTCTTCACCTTGTTTGGATTTTTAACTTGCCCTCGAGTCATGATTTTTCTTTGGTTTTTTTACTGGTTTTTTGATTCACTTCCTAGAAAAAGCTGGATCCTTTCTCGGGTGCCGTCGTCCTTCCCCATCGCTTTACGGATGAAGTGAATAAGGTTTTGGTTTTCACAGAGGTGGGTGAACCTGGATTAACTTTATTTGCGTGTGTTTTATGTGTCCAGAAAACTCCTGCAGCTGTTCTTTGCCACTTAATCATCCTAGCAGAACAGACTTCCATATATCTGTATGAGATAGTCCAAAAGAATCGATTTTTGTCCTGAAGCAAAAGCTTGAGCCAAAGTTTTTACAAAAATGAAGCCTTTTTGGTACAGACTAATTGGTAGTACAGCTGTTCATAGCTATGTTTTTCTCTCAACAGAATGAGCAAGAAGCTGAAATAGCTCGGGAGAGTGGAGCTGAGATCGTGGGGGGACTTGAATTAATGAAATGGGTATTGGTTTTTATTTTAATTTTTTTAAGAATTATATATATAGCCTAATTTAAACTGTGTTTGGGCCTGGGGAGGGGAAGAAACCTGATGTCCAGTAAACTCCAGCTTGCCAATGTGAAGAGTGAGGGATGGGTTTGTGTGCTCAGACAGCTTTGTAGGTCCACTTGTGTGCTAAATATATTGAATTGTTTCTGTTGCAGATCTTGGAGGATGAAATCCAAGCAGATTTCTATGTGGCTGTTCCTGCCATAATACCCAAGCTAGTACCACTGAGGAACAAACTGAAACGGAAATTCCCGAGCACCAGAAAAAGTAAGAAGCGATTCTTCCTTGCAGCTCTCGACTGCTGAAGAGGATTTAACTCTGGAGGTGCCACTGAAAGGTTTTTTTGACGAGGATGTGTAATTACGTTGAGTGTTAGACTCTATTTGACTGCACTACTTGTTCTGTCTTTGGTAAAGGAAATTTTAGGAATCCAGATTTGTGCTTTTCTCCTACAACAGGCAAATCTGGGATTAGAACCAAGATAAATTTGCCTACTAATTACCCCTAATTAACCCTGATGAATGAGGAAGGAGGGAAGGTGGAAACTTTTTCTATAATACCCCTGAGGACACCACTGCCTTGTTTGTGAAACTGCATTTTGGAGTGGAGTTCAACTGCCTTAATTAATTACCACTTTACTAATACCACACTTATCTGTGCTAATAAGCATCACTCAGACAACTCTCTTTGCCTTTTTTTGCCTTTATTTTTTTTTTTTTAAATAGATTCCCTGGGCAGTGATATTCCCAAAATGGTGCAGCTCTTCAGGGAATGTCACGAGTACGCCGTGCAAGACGAGAGTGTAATCAAGACAAGGATAGCCAGGGTAAGTTGTATGGAGAGTTTTCTCTCCTGAGCAGAACTCAAGTTAGTATTAAAAGAAAGGGAAAAAAAAGATGTTTTCAATCTGTTGCCCGAGATTTTTAACCATGTTCTTTAACTGACCCATGAAGGAGATGGAACTCTTTGTTGTGCAGCATCTTCAGCTGGTTTTAACCTCTTTTTTTTTTTTTTTTTAAGTAAATGAACTATGGGTTTGTAAGTCCATGGTCAATATGGACAGAAGGATGAAAAAGTCTTTGCTTTACCCAAATAATTAAAGACTTTTAATTTTGATAACTGTAGTTCTGGACTGGAGCAGAAAGAACTGTGTTACACCTGACATATAACATTAATTTCTGCTTATTTATTGATTTTCTGTGCCCCAAACTGTGTGTTTTTTATTTTTCCTTCTGGTTTGTCTCTTTTCAATCCTGCCTGATGTTTAGTTTTCCTCTAACTGACGGTGGCACAGGAAGGAAGGGTACTAAACTCCTGATCCCGAGAGAATTGTTCCAAACTTTGAACAGGGAGATAGCTGATGGTGTGCACACCAGGATTTAGTGTGGAATGCTTGTTTGGAAGCTGGGATGTTTAATTGGGTGTGGGAGCTGTGTTGAAATACGTGAAACCCTCTGAGCATTGCCTGTCTTCATTGTGGGGCTGTTAGTGGGATTTTGAACTCCTTAACAGGGAACACGGAGAAGGAAGATCTACCCAAGTGTAGGATAAATGATTACCCAGTGTTTTCAGGTTTATTCATCTGGGCTTCAAGTACTGCCATGTCTAACCTGGCATTGTCCTTTTCCAGCTGGATATGCCTACTGAGCACATAATTGCCAATCTAAAGGCAGTTATCCATGATATCTGCACCTTCAAGCCACCACCTTATGGTAAGAAGCTGCTGTTCTAAGGTGGGAGTTCAAGTTATAGCAAACAAAACTAAGAACTGAGTGGTTTTAACTGATTGTCATTAAGTGACCTTTCTATTCCCAGGATATTTCCAAAATTTCTGGGGCATCTGCTTAGCTGGAGAGGAAGTGGTGGTTCATGAGCATAATTTTAGGGAAGAGTAGCCTTGTGTGAGTGAAGAAAAGAACTTTTTATACTAACACTTGCCTTGTGTCTGCCAAAAGAATCATCTTGCACCTCTCCCAGTGATGCTGTTAATAGTAACTGCTGTACAGAGACCAGACCATGCCTTGAGGAGTCCAAATAAAAAGCATAAGGGGTTGGTTGACTTGAAATATGATAAATAGGTGCAGAAAGGGGTGGTATTTTTGTTCTGGATGATTTTAAATGTGAATTATGCCAGCCTAGTTCAGTCATCTGGTCTTGGTAGCATTTCTGCCGATTAGTGATTGATTCTTGTGGTGGGCCCTGATGAAAAATATTTCCTGTTTGTGGGAAGCAAACTTGGTAATGAACACATCTTTACAACAGTGGAGTCTAGCTGTGCTTTACTGTCAATCATTTACAGCAACCAGTTATCAATAACTTAATTAGTTCTTGTCAGGCTTTCCATAGGTGATAGCAGGTATCTGCCAGGGAGGATGGGAAACTGTGGGCTGAAGGGATGTGTCTTGTTGGGATTCTGGACACGGTGGGGACCAGTACTGAGGTGATTCAGCCTGGAGCCGTGGAAAGGGGCCGAGTGACCACTTGGTGGTGTTTGTTTTCTAGATCCCATTGTGCAGAGGTTGGTGATCAGATCTTCAACCAGTGAAGGTTTGCAAGTGAACCTTGATGGAATCTTACCTCAGGTGGAGAAAGCAGAAGAAAAGAAAGAAGAAGAAGAAGAAAGAAGCGCAGACGATGAGGATGAAGCAGAAAAACCTGTCCAGGAACCCGCTAGTACCTGAGGTCTTTCCTTGTAGATCTGACGATCACGCTTGGGAAGCAAAGGGTGTCGTTCAGATCATGCTCTGTGGAAACAAAAAATAAATGGAACTCGTGAATTTCACTTCCAGTTTCTGTGTAACAATGTCACAAACAGGAGCCTGTTGTCAGAACCAGGGATTTTTTTTTTTTTCCCCTAAGGAAAAATTGAATGTGTTCTGTGGGAAGAGTAGCCATGCACCCTCTGTCTCAAACGATGCAGGTTCATCTCTGTGTGACTGAAACTATGTCCCTCAGAGAATCCAGGCAGTTCATGGTTTGCTTGCACTATCCCAGGCAGAACTGTACTTACAATATTTTGGGATGAATCCTGCCTGAAGCTCCAAGTGTCACTTGTCTATTTTCCATCATAGAGCTGGTTCTTGAAGGGCTTGTGAACAGCCACTTGGGATAAGTGGGTCAGCCCGTCTTGGGTGTGCTTGGAGCGTGAACTGGTTTCATTATCTGTGGAAATTGCTGTGATTTCTTATTTTTCTTGCTTTCCTCCAGCGCAGTTCTTAAATATACACTGGCAACCAGGATGTCTTTCCCGCTTTTTTTCCCGTTCTTTCCAGGAGGTGGCGTTCCTGCTCTTCCCTCCTGTATAAGTGTTGGAAAAAGAAATTCTCCTTGGGTGGTTTGTTTTTTTTTTTAATGTTAGTAAAACTGTACCCCCAAATGTAAGATGGTTCCTAAAAGGATTGGCTATTTACAATAGGGATCCTGTTGGATGTGCTGATCCGAATCTGGAAAGGTCTGTGACTTGAAGTCATTCCTGTTATTGGAGGCAGGGCTTGTTTTTCCAAGAAGGTTGCTCAGATATGTCTGCATGGAAGTTCTTGTAGTTCCCATCTGAAGCATTTGGCTGCTGTCAGTCAGGGAGCTTGGAATGTTCCTGTTAGGCCACAGTGATAGATTATGGATTATGTGGGGTGCTTTGCTCAGAGTTTGATCAAAAAATTCTCTTTAGGGGTGTGGATGAAAGTTTCACACTGACTAAGTAGACTTGCTGGGTTCTATGTGGAAAAAGCAATGCCAGTGCCCTTGGGTGTCCATCTGAACACATTTTCCCTCCTTCCTTTGTTCTGCACAAGTTGTGGAGTAAAGCTTTTTTAGCTTCCTAATATTGATGTCTAGGAATTTCTGGTCTGGAGCACCAGTTTGAGAAGATAGGTAAGGGTAAGTAATTAAGAAGAAACTTTGTTGGTTTTTTTTTTTTTTAATTACTTCAGATTTGTGGAGTTTTTCTCCTTTACCCTGTGCTTTAAATAATTGATTGTACAGGTAGCTAGTGGTTGTGTGCTGGCAGGTCTAGTCCATGAGCAAAGGTAGTCACTTAATCAGCCTGCACAAAAGGCTTGATTACTTCTGACAAGTTTTATCTGGATTTTTTTTTCTAGTGAAAAGAAAATTAATCATGTTGCATAAGCTCCTCATCTACAGCCTGTCTCCCTTCATTAGCTCATGTACAGCATCCTCTGCAAGTACATCCCTCATCCTGCCACCTTTTTCCTGCTTGGAATTTGTGCTGAGGACGAGCAGGAAACGTGAAGCCACAGGGATGTGCTTCGGGACCTGGCTCTTGGTGCATCCCAGCTGGATCACCAGCGGGTGATTAGCATTCTGAATTTTAGCAAAAGGTAGGACACTGTTTTACAGCAAGGCTGTTTCACCCTGAAGATCACGTTTTGTGCCTGTGTGTAAGCCAGGAGTGTCTTTATTACTAAGGGATTACACATATAAGGGATATTATGAGGCATTACAGTGGATATGTGCTGTTTGTGACCCCAGAGGAGCAGTGTGAAGGTAAGTTACCTCTTGGTGTGGAGAAGCAAACCTTGTGATATCATTTGCATAGGTTTCTTGCTCTCTTCTCTGTTCTTTTGGCTAATTTCCAAGGCTTTAATACCCACCGTGGAAAAAGACCTGCCCTTTTTGGTGGATTTAAAAAAGTGATGCTTGAGCATAAATATGCAGGTGAGCTTAAATCGGAAGCTCTCAGACTGCTGAGTGTGCTCTCAAAGAATAAAAGTGTGTGGAATAACAAAGTTCCTGCAGAGATCTGCACTCGGAAAATTCGAATACTGTGGGAATACTGTAAATCTGGCCCTCCAGAAGTCAGGGCAGCAAGAGAAGTAGCTCACGAACTCTGCAAGTTTTCGGGTGTAGTTCTGAATACGTGCTGCTAAATGCTAAAGGGATAATGCCCCTGCTCTGTGTGGTACTGAAACAGTGTTGTACGTTGCTGGCTTCTAGAAATCACAATTTTAGAAAAATTTTATCAAAAAAGAGAATGCTGCAGTGCCTTTGTAATGCAGATAATGTACAGTGGCTTTTAAGTTTTTTTTTCATCTGGAGCTGCTGTTATTTAACTCAGGAGAGGAGCAGGAGATGAGCTGGGATTCATGACGAGAGCACACAGAAACATTTGCCCAAACAAGGAAGAAATTGTCCTGGAAGCACGTGTGCAGCTCTGGGGAATGCAGGGTTTAGGCTGACACAGCCTCAACCTGGACTTGTACGGGAATTCATTGCACTCCAAAAAACTTGGAATCTCTGTAGGTCAAACTGAGTTCACGAGGCTTTTGCTGTGAGTTCTGCCACAGAGGTGAGGTTGGAAGAGGAGGGCGGGGATGTTACAAATGCCACATCCAGAACTAGCAGGGGTGAGATGTTTTTAGTGCTGAGCTGGGCATTCCGAGTGATTAAATATGATGACATTTATGTCCTGCAGCACCGTTGGTCAGTGTCAGCTCCAAGACTACTTGGAAAACTCGGAAAACTCCAGTCTTCCCAAACTGCCAGGTACTGGGGGATGCTGGGTTAAGTTAAAATACTACTGTATGCGGTGACTCTGCAGTGACATATTGTTTGGGTCACTGGCAGGGCTGGACAGGGCTGTGGCACTTGGAATGATTGAAAGATGGATTTTATATGTTAATGAGTTAATGAACCCTCTCTGTACTCGGCTTTTACTATTTCCACCCCTTGTCCCTTGCTGGTGCTCCTTTGGGTTTGGTCAAGTTGTCCTGAGTTTCACTTGAGGAATTAGAAGGGAATAAAGGCCTGTACATTTCTTCCTTTCATCATTTCTGCCATATCGGAAAGGAACATGAAACACTTGTTTGCATAGTGCTGGTTCGAGCAGAGATAGTTGTTATGTCTCCCTGCTCCTATTTTTATAAAGAACAACCTCCTGCTAATAGCTAATGAGTATTAACTTGAGAAACTCATCATGCAAATCGCTGCTTGGATCTTGGAGCCGTGCCAAGCTGCACATTTTGCATCTCACATTTGTTGCTGGAATTCCAGCACAGTGATTAAAGGCATGCAATCCTGAAAAAAAAAAAAAAAAAGGAAATCTGACCTCCAGCTTGGAGTTCAAGATGGTAGTGTTCATTAGGAAGTGAATCAGAACTGAACAGATGGAACTACCACGAGGAATTATTATCAAATTGAGCTGCCATCGTTGCATTTAATCAGGAGATGAAGGCAGCAGCAGCCCAGCTCTGTATGTGGGAATTGGGATACTGCTATGAAACAGGAACACTGAAATTAGCTGGGAAAAAAAGATGATTTCATTCATGGACTGGTAAAACTAAGCTCACTTTTTTAGTTCCTTTCAGGTTGAGGCTTTGGCTCGTAGCAGTTTAATGGCTGTGACTTCCAATGTGGGTCTGGTTTTCTTTATCCTCAGACTTAAAGGAGCCCAGTTTTCATTTGGAAAAGTTGGCTCCAGTGTCTTCTGTTGGGTGTGCAGTGCTGGAGGGGTGAGAGAGGGAGTTTTTCCTGAGTGGACGTGGCACTGTGTGTGTGTTAAGGTGCTTAAAGCAAGAAAACGCTGTAAGGGGAACAGTTTAGCCTGGGCTTTGGTCGTTTTTCTTAATTTGAGTGCTTGATTTGTGATTGCTAATGTTGGAGTCTTCATCTATTCCATGGATTTGCTCTAGAAAGGCAGAGCAAAGGAGGTGACACGGCAGGAAGAAATGGACAAGGCAGTGACAAAAGTACCTTGTTTCCCTAAACAGACCCTACCCCTTTGTTGTACTTCTTGTTACAATAATACAAACAAAACTGACAGACACCCAAACACAACCCCTGAACAGCTTCAAACCCACGGGGAGAGGGTGACCTTTCCCAGGCATCAATGTGCGAGCCAGGCTAAAGGCAGCGGGGTCAGGTCCAAAACAAACACGCTTGCTTTGCCTATTCCCGGTGCTGCTGCGGCTGGGACAGGTTGTGGGATCGCTGGGGGCCGTTTCATCCCCAGGGAGCTACCGAGGAGAAGGAGAAAGAGGAGGAGGAGTATGAGGAGAGGCTCCCCTGGTCCCCCCGCGTAAGGTGCGAGGGAGGAGGAGGAGGAGAGGCTCCCGCGGCTCCCCTGCCCAAGGTGTCGAGGAGGAGGAGCAGGAGGAGGAGAGGCTCCCCCGGTGCCGGGAGGAGGAGGAGGAGAAGGAGGAGGAGAAGCTCCTCCGGTGCCGGGAGGAGGAAGGAGGAGGAGGAGAAGGAGAAGCTCCCCCGGTGCCGGGAGGAGGAGAAGGGAGGAGGAGAAGGAAGTAAGCGCCCCCGTGCCGGGAGGAGGGAAGAGGGCGCCGCGCTGCCCGGGGGGGGCGGGGCGGCGGCGCGGGCTGCGGCGCGGAGCTTGCCGCTTCTGTCTGCGGGCAAAAGTTTGGCGGCGGGCGGGGGCCCGAGGCGCTTGCCCCGGCACCTGGCCGAGGCGGGCGGGCAGAGCCCGCTGCGCTGGCTGCCTCCGCGGGGCCATTGGGCGCCCGAGCGCCGCCTGGGGCCCACGCTGAGCCTCTCGCGCGCTGCGCTTGGCCGCCGCCGCCGCCTCACTCCTTCAGGTGAGTCGTAGCGCCGGGCGCGTCCCCGTCCCGCGGGATTGTCCCTGAGGAGACACCCAGGTCCCAGCCCGCCGTTTCCCGCGGGGTTCGGCTGGGCTTTCCCCGCCTCCCTCCATCCCCGCTCCCCGGCCCCGGCCCGGCGGGGGAGTCCGCCTCCGCCCCACGCCAGTGTTGGAGGCCTTCTCCTCAGGGCGAAGGGTGAGGGGCAACCGCGGCGGGCGGTGCCCGTGCCCGGGCCCTT